AGATCTTATATTATTTATTTATTTTTCAGTGGGGGCGGTTCAGTTTTCATTCTGCCAACGTCAGCGAGGATATGCAGCGTGTACTTTGTGAACACCTGCAAGGACAACGCTGAGACTCATCCTGCAACAAGTTACTAGACAAGATGTCGGCTGAGGTGTTGAATAAAGACTAATGCAGGGAACCTACCAACCCTGTAATTGCTCGTGAAAGATTCTTACCGTAAAATACCGAGATCCGCACATTCCCTACTAAGTGCCCACCCCAAAATTTTGCAACATCTGAAAAAAATATGCAAAGTAGATATATAGGTAAAATTAATGACCTAACAAGTGCTCATTCCCCAATTTTCGCGATTATTTTCATATTTTGAGTGGGCGTTTACTCGGTATTTTACGGTAGTTAATTTAAATTAATTTTCACTCCCTCGCTCGAAGATACAGGTGACCTTTCCTCATCTATTTTGCATTCTCTATATGTGCCCGGTTTTTAGCCAGTTAAAAGTATCGTTAGTTGATTGGCAACTTCTGTTGTCTCTTTTGTCTTCGAGTTGAATGCTTTGGTTTAGTCTGTACCCCAAGATTCAGTATAGCTTGTCTAAAGATAGATAAGCTTAGGCGACGACTGCTTTCTTACGAACTGGGAGACATCGTTCGTGAGATTTCGAATATCATGATCAGCTGATCTGCCGTGCAAGATCCCTGAAATAGTCGGGGTTCTCGGCCCTACAATTTCTTTGACGGTCTTTGCTTTTCGAGATGTGTACATCATCTGCAAGTGTCCTGCCGGCCATACTTCGAGTCTGCGCCAATGTCACCGTGTTAAGAGCATGAGAATTTTTATATTGTCGCAAGGTTGTATGTTTACCTACTCGTGGTTGTGATAAAACTCAATAAAAATCTTTTTCACTGTCAACAAAACATTTCTGAAAGCGTTGCATTATGCTGCTGTACCATATTTTCCACACCATAGACCGCAGGGGTAAATTTGGGGTAAAAATAGATTTCACATGGATTGTACACATACGGTGCATAGTCCGCACCTGGTGCTTAGTCGTCATGAATATCTTCTCATAGACGGCACACCTTGAGTAATGTCTGCTTTTTTAGCACAGAAAAAAAACCTATAACATACATAAATCCTCATTAACATACTCTTTCATTCACAAAATCCGTCTCGTCCTAATCCACGATATTGAAAAACAAATATCCCGCATAGTCCGCACAGCCTAAAATTTCAACTTTTAAAAGTATAGCCCTGGAGATACGGTACATTCCTGGAAACGCTTCAGCACATGCCAACATGCCACGAAACCAACTTTATTCAGTGAAGCAGCAATTAAACAGCAGCAAAACACCAGAAAAAAAATTGTTCTAATAATGGCAACCTATCGTGTCACTGGTGTTTTCTTTGCTACACAACATTTTCCTCCTAAAATGTCCCACACAGTAAAGTATAAATCAAGCCTTCACCCAATATTTTAAAATCTTGCATGTGGACTGGACACCTTGAACCTGAAAGAGAAATGGATTTATTTTATAAATCCATCCAAGTGAACATTGTCATGGAAATTCGACTAAAATTATGTGCAGTCATCTGTTTAGCAGACATTTATGCTGGAGATTTAGTCTAGGCTCGCCTCTTCTCGTTTCAACTGTTTTGCCCCTCTCTCTGACAGAATCTCGCGGCACATTGTTGTTCAAACTCGCAGAAAAAGTACCATCAATCGGCAGGAGCAGGTCCCAGTAACTGCAACCTACTGCCTCAGTGAAGTGGGACAAAAATACCTGGTAATAAATCAACGAGGCCTTTGTTCAGATCATGCCCTGGCGTTTTAGTTCACCACTGCTGAGGCAGGCTAATGCAGGAAGCGTGTTCAGCAACCCTAATAAAATTAAGATCGTCGGCACAATGCTCGCATCGGTCCGCGGCTCCAGCCCAGCGAGGACCTGTAGTCGCAACTGTACGCGGGGGTCTTATCTCTTCCCGGAGTTATCAGCCTATGCCCGCACGATCCCCGACACGTTAATATTTCTTCGACGTGGGCGAGCCCGAAAAGCTATCCCACTCGTAGCCTCTAGTGCGAGAACGTAGACTGCGGGTAGTTCAGCGACCGAAAAATAGTATCCCGACGTCGTCTAACAGGACTCACGAGAACAGTGGTTCATTGTGATTAGTAATCTTTAAGGCACAATGTTATTACAGCACAAAATTTAAACAAGTGACGCTCACCTGTAAAGTTTTCTCGTAGACGCCGCACGGCCGTACTTGCGAGGCGGACCCGACTCGTTGGCGGGGAAATCAACCGCTTTCTCAGCGGAAGGTGCGTGTTATTGAAGCTTCTCTATCGTTTCTTGACTCACCATGCGAATTCTCGCACGCTTTCTATCCTTCTCTAAATCTTCACCGTTAGCTTGAAACACCTGCGACGCCAATGCAAAGCTACGAACGCGACCGACGCGACACGACCATCGCAATTTCGAAGCGCCCCCTGGTTGGGCAAATCGATTCGATGGCATGTTTGCAGTATATCAGTGCTCCTGAAGTAAACACGAGCGATTGCGAGCCTGACAAAGGTACCTTAGCGTGCTTGCTGCACGTGCTTGCGGTTTGTCGGCGTGATGGTGGTACAAACTTTATTGAGCTACTTTAGGAAAGCCCAAAGGTCTTGGTAGAGCTTTGTTCAGGGCTCCAGTGCTTCCTGCTGCAGCTCTTGCCCGCTGGATCAGGGCGAGCCGGTCGTTAAAGGGGGGAGGTGCGCAGCGAAACTTCCCAGACTCCGCGTTCGGAGGAGGGGTGAAGGGGAAGCCGTTTGTTTCTGTCTGTCGCTTTAGTGGGATTCGGCCATTACAAAACATGAGGCAGCAGGCGCTCAATGAAGATATATCGTAAAACCTTCCGTGAATTTTGCGAATATAAGCGAGTAGCACTTTTCAAATGTTATTATTGGTATCGGTTTAGACTCCAGCATTTCTACTAATTGCTTTAGAATACGCCTTACACACGCGCCGGATTACGGGAACCATTGTCAATCTTGCATGCCCTACCGAGATATTTAGTAACTGAAGCGGACGTTGATGAGCACACGCAGAAGCCTGCGTTGAACATAAGGATACTGAGGGTCTAAAGAGGGAATACCCTCTCTTGTTACCATAGCTATAAAGGGAAGGGACCAGAATAAACGGAAACAACCTGAGGGTCCGCTAAGGCTGCGCCGATGCACTGATGGTGCAAGGCGTCTAGAGTTAGAACTTTACAAGCGCGTGGTGAGTCCCCACCATCAAACCGGGACCAATGAAATTGCTCTCTTAGTTGATAAGAAAACCGAATAATCGCGAAACAAGAGGCGTGAATATAACATTCTGATTGGTTTGAGCGACATGCCGACGCGAGCATGTACCACGCTGAGCGATGCCGCGGCTACGAGGTATCTGCGATCGACGCCAACATTCCTTTGGCCTACAGATACTTGCGTTGGTTGTAACTCTGTAGGATGCGTTTGTACAAAATGCGTGCCGCAGAAGTGTAAATTGCCAACAGATACTTCATAAGAATATACACTTCTCGACGGATCGCTATTTTCGCTGTTCAAACTTCGGCCGAGACTCCCGCAATCCGACGCCCGCCTATTGTACAGCGTGTAAACAAATATTTTGAGCCCAGTTTGAACGGTCCGCAAAAATTGGGATATCCACCTACCTTCTGCAATTTAGTGCAGAGGCGAGGCTACGTGGTGGACGTTTGGAGAGAAAATGATAGCAGACGAACTTACCTTTTTTTGGGAGAGAAGAGAGAAAACTCGGTTTCGGACAGTCGTGTTATATGTCCACGTAATGAGTGAGGCACATTCTCTGATGCGCTGGAAATAACTCGGAGCATACATTGTTGTTCTACTGGTTGCTCAGATTATCAAATTTAGAGCCTAGAAATTTTATTCAGCTACCGTATTTTGCGGACTATAGTCCACACCCGTTGCAAAGTCGGCAGGGGCATATTTGGGGTCAAAAATAAATATAGTCCACACAAGTGCATAGCCCGCACTTAGTGCTTAGTCCGAACGTAAAGAGTATATTAAATGCTACACCTTTTTTTTTTCTTCATTTGTGTCTGCAGATACATGTTCCGCAGAGGGGGCCTAAGGCTAAAGGCAGAAGTGCCTGACAAGGCCTTAACCCCCTCTTGGTATGCAGCAAACAGTGACAAATGGCTGCTGTGTAAGCTCACAATAAGCCTGTATCATAAATAAATCAACATTAATATAATCTGTTACTCATTAAATCCTTCACGACTTGTTACAGTGAATGAACTGGGAAAAAACAAATCCTTGTATAAGTTCGCACCAATAGATAGTACGCATCGGGTAAATTTTCAACTTTTAAATATCAACTTTTAAGCATGTGTAGTCCGGGGACTATTCCAGAAAATACGGTGTCTTTTTACTACGAATGTACTGTATACTCAATCTAAACCATTCATTGATGCAGGACTGTATGGCAAACAGTTCCTTTCGTGTGCATTGTGACTAACAAGGTCCTTAGGCTTAAGCTGCACTGATTTATCGCATCCATGCTGAGACAGGGTATATTTCTTTGGTCATCATTTAATAGAGATAGACGTTATTTAAAATCAAAACGTTTGAAAGCTCCTGGTACAAGGAATAATGTCAGAGCGGTATCTTAGATTTTTCTTTCTTTGTCTTTGTTATTTCCTCGTTATGGCCATGCGAGGCATTTGATATTTTTATCTAATATTTATATTGAAAAAAAAAATTAGATCGTGGGCGCACTCGCAGCATACATCGGCATTCTGCTGGTTCTCCCCCCACAAACCAGGAGCTTCTGACCAGGGAGATATGCGGTTTCTTTTTACATGTAGCTCTTTCGATGTACAGGACGGGAGAGATGGTGCGATCGACTCCAAGCTTATGTGATAACAGTCTGTTTATTGGCTCATGCCGGCGGGCTCTTGTCGATCAGTAACTTCGTTATGCTCGTGGGCTCTGACATTGGACCGAAGGACCGCCACAGAGCTCCCCCCTAGGGCGATAGCTTGCAGGTCTCCAGGCTGCAGGGAACAAACTGATTAACGGTGGTGAATCAAGACAGCTTCGATACTGCTGCTGGCTAGTGGTGAGAGCAGGAGAATGCGGCATAGTGCTCTGAAGGCAGCGTGCGGTAGCCGTGCAGGTAGGGTGGGCGCTGAGGCCAGGCAATCAGGCGGCGGACAGCGAAGGGGCTCTTCGTTCAGTCAAAAACTTTTCTTCTTCTTTTTCTCTTCTCTTCTTTTGAGTACAGCTAAACGCTGATATTGTTGCTCCTCGAGGACCTCGGACAAGAGTATATCTGTACTGACACCACGTTTTGTTTGAAACCACAACGCTGATAAGAGACTCGCCGACATCCAGTGTTCCATATTCCAATATGGCAATCATGAGGCCATCACGAAGTCCTCATCAATCAATCACGAGGTCATCATAAATCCACCGTTAATTCATGAAACCGTTAAAAAAATTTTGATGGCACAATATGAGTCCGCCATAATTACCTCTCCGATGTCGTAATGACTTGTTTTGATATACGATATGCTTGTATACAAATTTCGCCATCATAATTCCATCACCGAGATTTTTCAATGCGGAGCAGAAGTTCGTCTGCTTTTTTTGCAGGGGTTTGTGGTGGCATCACAATGCCGAGTTCTGATTGGTTTCAATTGAAGGATAGCGGGTAGGCCTCGAGGCAGCTTGCTTTGAGGTCTGCCCACTATAAGAGCCAATCAAAGCTCGGCGTGGTTCTTCTGACGTCACCACAACCCCCGCACAAGAGGCGAACGAACTTGCCCTCGGCATAGGGAATACAAGAAAGTTGTCCTAGGTTAAGAGCATGCAGACGTTAATTAACTTTTTGTCTATAAAACCTTATATTGTGTCCTTCACAAATAAATTGTCTTCGCAAAGCATGCTGCAGTGCCACTGAGGTCAAAATTTACGTTCGGCATGAGGAAAAAAAAAGTCCTGGGCACACAAAGGGTTAAGAGTGATTCTTTTAATTTGTTACGTCCACCCAATATAGAAGAATGCATTGGAATGGCAGTGGCTCTCTCGGCGTCTGCTGTCAAAACGACTTCAAATATCACTTTCACGTCCGTGACGTCGTGTTTCTCAGGCGAAAAAATAGATTCAAAAGACGTTTGAAGTCAAAATATCTGTTTTGTTTTCATGTTTTCCGTCAAAATAGTTGCCAAATTATTCTTAGATCCTCCGACAAAATGGTTATTTTTCTGGTTGTTGCCTAGCCTGTGTTCCAAACCTTACCCAAATGAACCCGAGTTACTCCGGCGGGTCGTGTCACGTGACAACACAGATTGACAAACGCTGGATGCGGGTAGGTTGTAATTGGAACGCCAAGGTACAAAACTCTTACCCCGGAGTAAGATTGAGTAAGTTTTGGAACACGGTTCTAGTGTCACAAGAGTCACTAAATAGACTACGCTTGATAGTAACGACGCTTCAGCCGTCTTGGTGCTTAACGTCATGGTGGCCAGTTCTCTGGGGATCTATTTGAAATCACAGGAAACGCTTTACCGTCCTCCAGAAATGTTGAAACAGTTCGCGACAGAGCAAAACGATATCACCTGAGCGTCTTAACACCGCATCTAAAGCTGAGGAAGTCGCATTTTCGAATTGTGAAGATCGACATTTCCGTCTGCTCTGCACTAAGCACCAAGATGGCGGCTCCCACTAGCAGATGGCGGAACGGAGTGCGAATACTCTAAACGTAGCCCATTTAGTGGCGCTAGTGGCGCCTACGCAAAAGCCAAACACGTTTCGCCTCTACTCAATAGTGACCGTGTTTTCAGCGTTGTGTGCTCGAGAGTTGGATGAATTGCAGAAGTGTAGTAAGTTGGGCGAGTTGGTATGATGACATGATGAACAGAACAGCGCACACAAAGACAAGGACAGAGAAAAGGAACATGCAGGACACACAAGCGCTGTGTGTGTCCTGCTTTTTTTTTAGAACAGCATGCGGTCGTGACAGAGCTCGTAGAACTAATGGCCATCGGGATCAGGATCGCCCGTCTGCGAAGGCGTGTTCTCTCTTGGGAAAAGTGGTATGTTTTCAGCAGGTTCCCTCGTAAATTTGGAAGACTTGAGCCCCCAGCAAAGGCGAGCTGAATGTCCCTTTATCATGCTTGCAGGTAAGGTTTATAAATTGGTTGCTTGCACTGCGTAACATGAACAGATCTTAATGTGTTCTCTGCCACTTCCGTGCCATCACTTCTTTGAACGATCGCAAAATCTCTTTGCAGCCGGCCTCTTTTCCTTTAATAGGAAAAGAGGCCGGATTTTTTTTTTTAATTGTTGCCTTTTAGTGTGCCTTTTCGCACGGCTTTTTATAGTGTATGCCCACCCTAGTGCAACTGAATACGCTGCACTTCAGACTAACGCCACTTACCCATCTTGCGGCTTAAAGTCATAATTGCTAGTTATCTAAAGTTTTATCTAAAATCACAGGAAACGCTTTTCCGTCCTTCACAAATTTTAAACTTTTCGCGACAGAAAAAAGCAATATTACATGAGCTTCTAACACCGAATGTAATACTGAGGATGTCGCACTTTTGAATTTTGACAATCAGCAGTTTCGGCTGCTCTCTACTAAGCACCAATATGGTGGCGCATACAACAATATCAGGGAACAAAGTGCCGATACTCTAAACATAGCTTATTTAGAGCTTCTAGGCCACCCCTTCCTGTTCCCTGCTTTTACATTTCTACAACCCTCTTTTATCACCATAACTAAATGTAATAATTTAGGGGAGGATTCCAAAAGGGGAGATGACTTACGCGAGACTTCTAACAAATACGAGTCGTAATTTGTGCCCTCTAAGCAGATGGTAGCCTCTGAAAAAAAAAATTGCCTGGTGCGCGGGAATCGGTTTCGGAGGTTCTTTAAGACCAGCGGAGCGTTTTACCAACTCAGCGAATCAGGGCCCAGCCTTCATTAGAGCAAACGGATGTCAACGGCTGCCGCCAGCCTTGGTCGTAACCCCCTTAAGGGCGAGATCGGACGTTTATGTTGGTAGAGCGCTCCACTAGTCCTGTAGAGGTACCGCCATCGATTTCCGAACAAAGCGCATCTTATCAGCGTCCACCAGTCGCCCAGAGAGCGGGAGCTGCGTTTCATATTAGGTGAAAGTTAATTTAATTCTTTATTATAATAGTTCTTTTCTTACTTTCAAATTAAGGCCCGTCCACACGCCCGCGACTCCTTAGGACCGAGTGCCATAAAGCCTCTTACGACCAGAAAACACACTAAACACACCGTCAAGCTGCCGCCATCTATGCGGTGACCCTAGAACTGCATTTGACCAGAGCGAAGGTTTTGCGGTAGTTGCGAGGTCAAATGTACGTACCACCTATAAGGAATGGTCGTTCATAACATTGACCAACTACTTTCGAGCTAAAAAAGAAAGAACGATCCGCCATAAAAATAGAAAATGTACGGTCCGCCAATTGTTTAACGGCTATCCAATATGTGGCGCTAGTGTGTTCTCTCGCCGTAAGAGGTTTTAAGAGGTTTCAAGGCACACGGTTTTAAGAAGTTGCGAGTGCGTGAACGGGCCTTTCTGAATAACCGACGTCACTTTTTAAGGCTTCCAAAACCGAAGCCACACTAGATTGTCTTATTTCCCTATGTTATGAATGCGGACATTAGGGAGTTTTCGTAGACGGCGTTCCCCCCTCCGCTAAGCCCTCCTCGACGAACATGCCGCTACTGCGCCTGCGCGCCGACGGCCTTGGCCTCTAGAGTTCCGGGTATCGTAGCGGGTTGCCCAGAGCCGTTGCGGGACGGCGAAAACAATCTACAAGAACACTCTATTACTTAAAAAAAAAAAAAGTTGTCTTGCTCTTTATGTTGATACAGCCTTGATGGAGATACGTCTCAACGGGTAATCGGTCCTTAGGTGTAGATGAGAAATTTAGCCAGTTCAGTACAACCGCTCAACTGGGGTTTTTAACGTGCATCATGCAGTAATGATCACACGAGCGCGTGCCGGTACGAAACTCATCCAGGTCGAAACGGGCGGGGATGGCGGGGATTGAGCCCAGGAGGTTTCCAGCGCAAGCTTCCGCTCCACGCTCCGTGCTGAGACGCGTTGGCCCACTCGGCCACTTCCTCCCCTACTCCCTATTCCTTTCATCGCGGCAGATATTTGAGCTCTTTACTCGCGCGTGATACCAGGAAACATGGTGGCACCAAGCAATTGTTAGTCACAGATAAGGACTCGGAGCTCCTTTAGACCTAATCGCGTCATCGGGTCGTAAAAACGTCTGTTTCACGCCCAGTCCGCCCGCAGCCGACGCTGCAATCCGACGGACACATTCGAGTGACGTGAAAAGTGCGTCGTCATGGCGTCCATCGACTTTGTGCGTTCTGTATCACCCAATAAACCAATTACGCGCTGTGAAGGATTCTTGTTTTTCTTGCCCGATTGCTTTAGCCGGTCACAGAAAACGCACAAAGTCGACGAGCGCTGCGACGATACACTCTTGACGTTACTCCCTCAGACCGCAGCGTACGCTGCACCGGGACTTAAAGGGGTGAAAATTGCAAACACTCTAAACTTAATAAAGTAAACTTGAAAAAAAAACATTTTGTTCAGTTTTTTGACTGGGGGCGTAATCAGCAAAAACAAAATTAGCGCAATATTTCCGTCGTCAGACTAATTTTAAGCGAGGAACGATTCTGAAACGTGCCTCTATCGTCGTCCCAAAATAGAAGCATGAAATCAAAACGCGTCGCGATATTCAAAACGCGTCTCGCAACCTCAAAATCCCGCTAAAACGTGTTTTTTTTTTTTTTGTTTTTTTTTAGAGGGGGGGGGGGGGAATGGCGGTGCGAGGTTTATTTTACCGTTCATTCCGAGCGCCTTCAAAATTGCAACGGGGGAGTTCAGTGTCGTCTTAAGGTGCTGTAGATAAGAAAATACTCACCAATGATCTATTGACGACCATTCCCTATGGTACTTCCCGACGAGAGGAGGGTTATCTATTTGAACAACTTGAGAAAAAAAGAAATGAATTTGCACCGTTAAAAATAATAGGTAGAGTGGGGACGACAGTTAGAGTATTTCGGCAAGGAGGTGTAAGCTTGAGCCCAAGCCTTAATGGCACACTTCGACGAATTGTGTTTAATAGCCGTACCGGGACGCAAGGTCCGAGGCTTACGCTGTTTTTGGCATGTGAGAATAACGTGCGGTACCCGGAGAACGGTGATCCAAACTGGTTCTCTGAAGCTCGACTCACGTCTAAATACATAATCCAAAAGGGTACACGCTATACTTCGTTTCAGCTTCCGTCCGAGCGCAGCCAAAGGCTGAGGGACGGTTCGCAACTTCGAGAAGAGCATTCCTACGCACCACAAAGTACTCCGCAAAAGTAATTATTTTAAAAGAGCTGTTTTGTGTGTAAACATTGCACAAATATTCCAGATGTGTACTGCTGAGAATGATTTGTAACTAAAAAAATTAAATATCTGAATTTTATGTTTTTATTAATATATGTAAATGCATGTGGTTCGGTGAAAACACGTACATCCGCTGGCAACACGGCTGCAGCGCTCGGTTCTTCTGTGCGATTTCGTTCCCGTGACGGCCAAATCATGTGGTTCGTTGCTTTCCTCGTCGAGTCGCTTCAAAACGTCCTTTCGCAAAGGCGCGTTTAGGCGTCAGGCGCGAGAGGTCGTGATGAATGTCTACTTTCAAATTTTTCAACAGGGGACTCCGGCCACGTCGTACCGCGAATGCGTTGTAAACAAGAAAAGCGTCCGGGCCACTACAATTCACTGATACGCGGCGAAATCACGGCACCCCTTTACCTGCCGATCACATTGAACAGCGAGAAGCTAGTGGAAAGGACTGCGCCTCGAGCCCTGGTATATCCAGACAATACAAGGAAGCAGCAACGGCCGGGTCATCGGGCACCTTGCAACGTGTACTTACATCTCGAAACTATGCCGAAATGCCGAACAGGTGGAAAGCTCGGACACAGACGCCAGGGGCCAGCCTACGTACTGACATCCCCTGTGACTAAATTTCAGAACGTGAAAGGTCACTTTTTAAACCTATAGCAGACGATACTGTTGAGAGACCCGTAGCAGACGAAATCCTCGGCGAGCGCGGGCGGCGCGGACGACCACCGGCGCAGCGGAGTGATACAAAAGTGCAGGCGAGATCGCGTGACCTTTTGCCGGCGTGTGATTGGCTCCGGCCACACGTAGGTTCGGCTGCGCTCGGACGGAAGCTGAAACGAAGTATAGTGAGGCTTTTTGAGTTGTTTTTACGCTCTCTCTAAACGGCTAAAAGTAATGATCACCGTAGTATCACGTGTCAAAGGGCTAATTTATTTGATTCGCTATTCTTATGTAAAGGGCCGCCCAAACATGGCAGCTGCCATAAAGCGACACAGCGCTGGCATATATGTACCACTCCCAGGCCGCTTTCGCCTGTTTCCTTTCCCTTTTTTTGCCAAGAAGAAAGTTACTATACGCTTGCATCCTAGGACCGAGGCCTAGAGCGTGATCATCACGTGGGATCGGACAGCCATCACACGCCGTGCTGGCTGTCTTCAGCGACTCCGCCGTCGTCATTTGTATTAATTCTCTAAAAAAAAAAAAAAAACAAGAAAGGGGAAGAGACGGCAGAGATGAGGCGAAGAGAAAATCCGGGCTGTTTGCGTAATTGATGGCCACACTTAAAGTGGACGCGAGAATAGCAACTTTCGCGATATATACCCATTTTGTGTCGCGCCGCGTCAACTTTAGTGTCTTGTTTGGATAGTCCTTAACGTGGCATGCACAAAAGTGACACGCACAAGTAATTATAACAAGTTCCCTGTTCCACTTACCTAATCGGGCGTTTTCAGATTTCTGATCTATATATACAGCTCCAACTTGTTGCAAACCTGAGAAAAGGTAACGCATTGTTAAGAAGAAAAAAAATATCAAAGCAGGCAAGCACTGCACATGTAGGTGTGTAGAAACTTAATGTTGGAAGCACTTCCGCTCGATCGTAGCCTGTTTCGAGACACGCAGAGGCACTAGTTTAAATACAGTTGTAACTGATAAGGAGTGTTTTAATCGTCGTTAAAGTGGTTGAATTGCACTGGTGGCGGCTTTTAGTAGGATACTGTGGGAAGCAACATGAGCGTGAATTTGCCTCCTCATTTCGTCACGGAGGCGCGTTCATGCTCATATTGTTTCCCATAGTACAATTTAGTGCAAAAAGCGACGCATGATTTTAAAATAAATCAAGGATGAGCGTACCACTTTTGTAGTTGTCACCACAAAAAAACGCGAGACTTCAAAATATCTAAGTAACCATTTGATTTGTGAGATAACTTGGACCCTGCTTTGCTGTTCTTCTCGTTCATTGCTTCAGGTTCATTACTGCAAGAACGGAATTGTGTAACGTTTCTTCCACTTTAAAAACAGTAATTCAAAGCAAAGTATCAGACAAAATGCCCTTACAAAATTGCCAATGAGATCCAATGGATTTTTTGTGTATTCTTGTAAAACACATTAGAACCTCAATTGAAATTCACTGGTAATAATTGTAAGGGTGTGGTTCATCTATTCATAAATTTATCATGCTCTCAGTATAAAAAAAAAATTGAAGAAACTCTTAAAGCAAACGTTGCGCGTGGTGGAGCCTACCAGTTACATCAAACATAAACTGTTATCGCCGTTTATTGCACTCGGAATGCAGATTCTAACCGCACTGCATTAATCTCGATGTCGCTAAGACATGCCATCTCCTCACAATGACACTTCGCGGATTTTGAACAAAAAATATGTGTTGTGAGTCGTTTTCTGTGCGAAAATCGTCACGAACGTGCGTTTTACGATGTTAAGGTTATATATAAAGATAAAAAATAAAAAATTATAAACTAATATAAAATGATAAAAGTATGACAAAAAAGTATTCGATTTGTACGGGGCACAATCTGGGATCCGTGGTCTTTGTTAGCCTGATCAAGCTTGCGCATTTCTTCTTAACTTTCTCCTATCTAGTAGCACATCAAAGTCATAAAGGCACGCAGGTGGTAACAACCACCATGCTAATGATTTAGTTTCTTGAATGAAGCTCAGTTTATACCTGATTAGTGATAACAAATGAAAGGCATTATTCTGATAAAAATGTTACTGACCCCTTGTCAGTACCGGGAATAGATCGAATTCTGATTTTCAGATAATTTTTCATAACATTGATAGTATCGTGTCTGTTCTGACATACTTTATTGTTCCATGTAGCAGATTTGTTACCGCGGACTCTTAGCTCGTAACTACATTGCAGCATAGGAACACTGATTCCAAATAAAAAAATAAGGTGAAAAATGAGCCGCAGCATGCATACTAAGCCGACATTTTCATCGCAGATATGTTGTAATCGTCAGTTTTACCTCGTGAAATTTCAGGGTAGGGCAAGGCAAGGTAAGACGTCAAACACCTCTAAATTCGAAGTTCGGTAACACAAAATCTCAAGTAGATTGTTTATGAAGTGGCCAGATTTGAAAGCGGTTCCAACTGCTCAATCTTGGTCCCGTGGTTTATGGGCAGCGTTTGCTATACAAGATGCCAAAAGGACGCTTTCGTCCTCGCCACGCTAGAACGCAAGCATTGGCGCGTGAAACAATCCGCTCAGGGGATGTCCGCCATTAAGCTACAAACCTTCTGCACGTTTTGAGTCGTTCCCTTTCTTAAATTTAGGCTCGTACCCACGGAAAAGTGGCGCCACGTATTCTAAGCTTAAAAATACTATTTATTTTATATATTTATTTATTTATTTTACCCTTAAGGCCAAAGACATTACAGAGGGGAGTGGTGAACGAACAAAGAATATAACAGTGCAAAATGCCTAATAGTTAAACTGGACATGGTTTGGAACACTTGAATAAAAAGGAACGCAATCAACAGATGTAAGCGATGCCTGTAGGTGAATCATTTCATTCGAAACTCTAGGGATAAATTATACAAAATATTTGTTATAATGGACAATGGGACGCCTACTTTCTGCGGATGTGTTTCCATACATCCAGAGGTGCGTAAACAAATGAGGTGAAATTTTCAACTGATTTCTGACTACAGTGTTCTGACAGATAAGTTGGCGAAAAAGAGAAATGCTTTAAATTTTACGGCGATGAGCGGGGCTGGGTACAAATAAACAGTTTCATTTATGATATGCTGGCGATACGATTATAATTAACAGAAATAAAACACCCGGATTTTCTTTGAAATAGCTCAAATAAGTCAGTAAGCTAGGCCGTACCAGGATGCTAGATGGAGGCTGCATATTCAAGCTTTGACCGCACTCATGTTTCATAATTAATAGTTTTAACGTTGAAAGGGCCAGATACAAATTACGTGTAAGATAACGAAGCATACGGTTAGCGTTATTAGACACGTAATTAATATGTAAATTCAATGAAAGATCGGAACTTTGGATCACTCCTAGTCATATAATCTGAAAAAATGTATTTTTAGTAAAAAATTCAGGTCTATCGGCGGCATCCCATTTGGCTCTCATTCAGGTGGTCTGTTTAAGGCTTTCCGAATTGTTTATATACATAGTTAATACAATTATAAATAGCATTGCTTTTATGATGAAAAACAATAGAAATAGGTGTTTCCGTACACATCTGGCACCTCTTTCTAAGAAGGCACTAGTTTGCGCCACACGTCACGCGGAATATTGGTAGATGGTCGCGCGGAGACGAACTTGCGACTCTCAGTTGATAAAATAGACACTGCTTCAATTGCTAAATCAATAGGGTGATAGTGGCTTGGATTTAGTTGAAACATCATCGAAATAACTTAGACTTTTTTGTAAACGTTGACGGGATTTTTTTTTTTCAGTTATTGTTTTACAATTAATTTGTTCTTGTTTGCTTGGTAGGTATACTGAACTTCTGTATTTATGTCTACTGCTCCTATTCTTCTGCTGTTAAGCCTATGAGACTGTCGAGGGCCTCATCAAGCTGTATTTTTACAGCATTTTCCCTTGACCTCATCCATCAATGTTGATAAAAGTGAACAAATTATTATTATACTATTATTACTCTTTACAGATTACGAGCTCTAATGTTGTGTTATTAAGGTTATACATAGAAGTAAAACCAACCTTACGGGCGGCTCGCATTAGTTTAGACTTGTTAATGCTTTGTTTCATTAGCCAGAGCTCTCATTTAGAAATAGAATCCAAATCATGCTGTGATTGCTTGGAGTCAGAGCCAGTAGGTATTATTTAGTATTTGGCACCGTCGTCAGCAAATAATTTGATTCAGGGGGAAAAACATTGGGAAGAGGGTTAACATAAATAAGAAAAATCAAAGCACCTAAAACGAACCTTGAGGTAGGCCGGAAGAAACAGATGTGAGGGTAGAGTAAATGGCATTACAATATAAAAATTTCGAACAATCTGTTAAAAATACTATATCGATTTGAACATATCAGGATAAATTTTCACTTTACTTAGTTAATAAAGAAAATATTGTGACATCTACTCAAGTGCCTCTGCAAAGTCAAGAAAAAAATTCAGTACATCTGGAATCAAGTAACGAACTTTACCTGAGCATTTTGGTGCCTATAATAGGGCCAGCTGAACTGAACAATTTTTGCGGCATTTTATGTCCCGGTGAAAAGGGGGTGATTAAAATTTAGTTAAGTCAAGTTTTACGATATAAATTGCGTGTTTTACGCGGCTTTAAACAAACGCACAAAGTCAAGGTTCAAGAAGAGGGAGAAGTATTAAACCACAGCTGGTAGTCCAGCGGTATGTCTGTCACTTTTTCTCTCTATATTTGTTTCCTAAGTTCAGCTGGCCCTATTAGAGCATTATGCACCAACAAGCTCAACTAATGCCCGTTACTCAGTTTCTTTGAAGTTATGGTGAGCCCGTCTTGTATATGCCCTAATTCCTTCGAACCGCAAACTCTGTCTTATGATCCCACATGCCCCTTGCCGAGCCAGGTTGCTGACGCGCAGCATCAAAAAGAGGATTCTCCTGGACAGCGTCCAGCGTTCCTTCGGCTTAATAATGCCGTCCTAAGGACAGGCCATGCGGGTTTACACGATAATTAAATCCGAAATATTGCGCCAACAGCGGTTGCTCACAAATGTCCCGCGGGTAAAGCGTGGTAACCACGATGTGTTCATGAATCTACTTACAGTGACAAGACACTCAACGGAAACCATATGGATAAACGGGTATATCCCGATTCTAAAGTAACATCTTGCAAGACGACACCCAGACAACCCCAAAAATGGCCTCTCAAAGTCATTGGTGACGTTGGCATCTCCGAAAAAAGCCAAAAAGGTACTCGAGCAAGGTCCGAAGTATGCCATACCGCCCAGACACAAGCTAATTGATGAGCTAGCCCTAGTTTGGAACACTGCATCCAAAACTTGGGAGGAGAAAGCTTCGCAAATAATTAGTGAAGGAAATGATTGCCTCACAAGCCATCGGAACCCAGAACCCCCGAGTATAAGCTTGAGCTCCACAATCGACGAGCTACGAGGCAAAGATCTGAAACTATGTGTTTCAGATAAAGAAGGTGGCTTTGTAGTGCTTACTTTAGGAACTTATGGAGCAAAAGCCTCTCAAGCTCTGGCCAAAAACTTTATCCCGGTACTAAAAAAAACAAGGCAAGATTACAAAGAAAGCGATCGTGAAGCGGCTGCAAGAAAACCTAAACAGCCTATACACAAAAATTTAAGGAAGTATTTTTCTCGGCAAAGCCACACAAAGTGGATGTACCGTTTTGGGCCATTGTATCGGAAAGAGGAACCTAGCAAGTGCATTTGTCAACCTTTTAGGCGAAGCCACTGTCTAATACATCGCAGTGATCCGTACATGATTCAAAATTCTGAACAACTGATTTTGTATCTTCAAGAAAATGGATCAAGT